CTGGTGCTATCTGTTACCAAGGATGTAAAGAAATCAGGAATCAAATGCAAGGTCTTACTCCACATTCAACATGAACAGAGCACAGAAATGGAAGGAGGAGGCTGCCCATTATCATCTTCAGAACTGAGGCGTCTGTTCCTTTAGCTGGCTGAGCTGAGAGATGGAACAGTACTGTGGCCATGACCCCACTATTCTGGGTATGGGATAGCACCAGGCAAGGGTTGTGAGGTAAAGGTTGTCAACAGTTAAGTTTGTGTTCTTGTCTCTCAAAGTTCCTGGGGTCAGCAGAAGGAGCAAGCATAGCTGTTTGTTACAGACTCAGCTTCTTCCTAAATGCATGTGGAAGCCCTAATCCCCAGAGCGATGCAGAATTTGGAGATGGGGCACCCAGGAGGTAATTAGGTTTACATGGGGTTATGAGGCTAGGGCCCTCTTGATAGGAAAGAAGAGAAAGAGAAACTAGAACTTGCTCTTTCTCCTTCCTATGAAGAAAAAAAAAAAGAAGAGAAGAGAAAAGAAGAGAAAAAAGAAAAGAAAAGAAAAGCAGCCATCTGCAAGCTAGAGACCATTTCCTATTAGACTTCTGGTGCCTGCTGTGCAAGCCAACCCTTCCACCAAGTCTGAGAAACCAACTGCAGCTCACCACAGCCAGAGTCCAAGTCCTCCTTTGGACTGGTGGCCACAGCTGCTGCTATGGCAACTGCAGCAGGACCCCTGGTGATGCAACAGCATTTGAAAGCTGTATTTAGACTTGGGACCTCATATCTAGGAGCACCACTTCCTCACTCAGCTTTCCCTTTCATCAAGCCGTCTGATGTGACTGGGATATGCAGTCGCGAGAAGAGCACAGGGAGGAAAAGGGCAATTTGAACTACACAGAGTTGATCAATCTTCACTGGAAAAGAACAGATGCTTAAATGTAGCTTCGTTGCCTAGACTAGACCTTGACATCCCTGCAGAGTGGAATCCTCTGATGAGTGGTCCTTTGCTTGCCCCTTTCTCTTTTCTCGTACGTTCAGGTAGCCATCAACACCCCACAGTCCCTGAAGAAGTGAGACCACCTGTTATAAATTGTGTATACATTCATCCACATGATCAACACGAGCTCTCTTGTCACACCTAGGAAGGAAAGTAAAGTAGGACAGGACATCCCTGGAAAGCAGCAGACGCAGGTGCAAAGCTAAGGAGAGCTGACCTCCCAGCTTCTCTCACCCACAGTGGCCTGGATGAGAGACAAGCAGGGTGGTCTGTGACAAGCTGGCAACAATTCAGGCCCCATGAGATATTCCAGGGATAGAAAACAAGGAAGAACATTAAATATTTGAGCTCTGGGCAATTTTTAATCCCAGCTGTGAAGGGACAGGAAGGCCAGCACAGTCCAGCTTAAAGCCATCGGCGCCACTGCTGATTTGGCAGGAAAGCAGGTGCTCCTGACACTAGCCCTGGTCACACCTGCACTAGAGTGAGGCTGAGACCCCGGCTCCTGTCTCACAGCAGCATGATGACACCTATAGGGTGGGGCTTGCCACTGTTGACCTACAGAGTTGGAACTGAGAGTAAATCCTGCTGGTGTTCACCCTCCTCAACCCCAAGCCAAAGGCAGGTGGTCACCCCTCCAGAAAAGTTCATGGAGCTTGTTGTGTAACTGAAAATTCCTCTCCTGAATGCTGACCTGCAGCAGGACCTGCTCATGTTGGTTTTTGGAAAAAGCCTTCACCAAGAGTTCATAGTGCACAGGTCTAACAGCCGCTGCCTGCGTCTTTTGCCACTAAGGACTGATGAACCCAGCATGACTCTGACACCCCTGACCTGGGAAAGCCTGTGGCAGGCCGGCTGAGCTGCCAGTGGATGCCGTGTTTAATAACTATATTGACTTGCACAGACGCAACGCACACAGACAGAACAGTTCAGTTGGTTTTGTCACCAGACAGCCCTTCCACATCCTCACAGTCCCCTGGGCCACTGACCCTGTGAAACAAGAACTAAGCTTTTCAAGTATTAGTGTGTGCTGAGCGTCTTTTTCTCCAGAAACAAATTGGAAGAAAGGTGTTGAGGTGAGGGGAATGTTTAGAAGATGCTGGAAAATACAAAGTTTGGACAATCCAAAATGTATATATGAATTAATACGTGTGTTTCGGTATATGCAATTAGTATCCTGTTGTGAACATCTTAAAATCATATTTATACTCTATGGATGCTGAAAAGTAAGGTTCTTTCAGCCTGATAAGATGGCTCAGTGGCTAAATCCTCAGCTTGCATGGGCTGGCATCCCTTCGGTTCATGTCCCTGCTGCTCTACTTCCCATCTAGCTCCCTGCTTGTGACCTGGGAAAGCATTCGAGGACAACCCAAAACCCTGCACCTGCATGGGAGACCTGGAAGATGCTCCTGGTCCTGGCTTTGGATCAACTTAGCTCTGGCTGTTGCAGCTACCTGGGGAGTGAATAAGCAGATGGAAGAGCTTTCTCTCTGTCTCTCCTCTCTGTAAATCTGCCTTTCCAATATTATAAAATAACTCATTTAAAAAAAAACAAAAATAAGGTTCTTCATAAAACTAGAAAATTGGAGATTGTAAGGGCAGAGGGAGATGTACTAGAGAGGCTGCAATGATAGGAAGGATTTTTTTTTTCTTTTAAGACTTACTTGTATTTGTCAGGTAGATTTACGGAGAGAAGGAGAGAAGGTCTTCCATCCGCCTACTCCCGCCCCAAAGGCCACAATGGCCTGAGCTGATCCGGAGCTAGGATCCTTTGCTGTTTTCCTAGGCCATAAGCAGAGAGCTGGCTCAGAAGTGGAACAGTGGGGACGTCAACTGGTACCTCTTCAGGGTCCCAGTGCTTGAAGGTGGAGGGTTAGCCCGTTGAGCCATGGCACCAGTCCCGATAGAAGGGATTTCACAACATGAATATTCCAAACAGAACTAGATCACTCCACTCGCCTTTATGAATATTGATGAAGCTATCTCACATAAAATGTAATAAAGAACAGTAAATCATGACCAGTGGGGTTATTCCAAGAAGGCAAAGATGGCTCAATACACATGACATTTCTATAACTCACTTTAGTTTCTTATTAAGATAGAAAAAAAAAATAAGATAGCTCCAAGTCATTTGATGAAGCTCAACATACATTTTTATGTCATAAACTTAATACTGGAAAAATAATTACAACATTTATATGATTAAAAATGCAGACACAGTTTCCACCAAACCAGGAGTTGGTATAGTCTTAAATGGAAAGACACTAAAATGCTTTTCAGAGTGCTGGCAAAATAAAGGACAAAACAAAAGAAGTTGATCAGCATACTGTTCTTTAACCCTGCTGGAACATATACTCACCAAAGAACACAGAAATGGGCAATATTTTAAAAATAGAATGGAGAGACAAAATTAATATTATGTGCAAAAGCAATAGTCATATATATGCAATATTGCAGAATATCAACTAGCAACAATAAAAAAACTTTAGCAAGATTAAAACAAAACCTAATCTTGCATTTATCAATATTGCATTGTAAAACATAATGACAAAAGACTCCATTTAAAATAACACTACAAGGAATAATATTAAAAAACAAATTTCAAATATCTAAGGAAATTCATGAACTCTATGAAGGGACATAAAAGAAAGCATTCGAAAATGGAAATATATGTCTTAGTTTTACAGAGTAAAATTCAAAAATTTGGAGATGTCAGTATTTCCATTTCATGAAATTAATTTGATTCAACATGCCAACAAATTTCTTTTTCAGAGCTTGACAAACTGACCTTAAAGTAGAGTTAAAGTAAGCACATGGGGATAGCCAGGCAAGTTCTGGGGAACAACAGAAGGGCATCTTAATAGATATTTTAAAATGGTAGAAAATAAGTCTTTGTTTCTGTAGCAAAATCAAACATAACACCTACACCAACGTGCAAATGACTGAATACGACTTGCCATACCATTTATCTAGAAAATAGTTCTTGCGGCATTTTCATGTGACACCAGGGCAGTTGACGTGGGCTCCGGTCATGATGAAGACCATGCTGAGCCTGAGACTTAACTCCTTCAAATGCTCCACCTGGCTGGTCGGTCTCACAGTGGGCCTGGCTCCTGAAACAACAGCCTACCGGGATGCCCTTCTAGATCAGTGGCTAACACAAAGCTCTCTTGAGTATTGAGGCCTAAACTAACAAGGCCAAAGGTAAAGAAGCAATCACAGTACACTCATGACAACAGCGATGGGGCAGGGTGCCTCTTGCGCCCTAGCCATCAGACACTTTTTATTAACAATTTTTAAAGATTTATTTATTTGTTAGAAAGGCAGAGTGATGGAAAGGAGAGGCAGAGAGAGAAATCTTGCAATTATTGATTCATTCCTCAACTGCTTTCCTAGGCACATTACCAGAGTGCTTGATTGGAAATGGAACAGCCAGGACTTGAACTAGTGAGCAATACTGGATGCCAGTATTACAGGCAATGACTGAACCCACTGGACCACAGCGTTAGCCGTCTAAATTTTATATTTTGGATTAGCTTTAGGTTTATAGAAAAATTGAGCTTAAAGTTTTCATATACCTTCTATTCTTCCTGCTCACCCAAATTTATTCTATTATTAATATCTTGCATTAATAAATCAGTGTTGGCACACCATTATTAACCCATTTATTGTGTATATATGACACAATCATCGTGTCATACTCTCCACAAGTTTTTCACAGACATGGAATGTCACATATCCACCATGATAATACCATACAGAGTTTTACTGCCCGAAAAGTCCACTTGAGCCCCACAAGTGATTTTTGTGAAATTAAAACTTAGACATAAAAGGACCAAATTTCCCCTGACACTGAGCTACCTGAGACTGACTTTCTGAACCATTGTGAATTGATCTAAACAGTCACTTTATGAATCCTCAATCCTTAAAAGTTTTCACTAGTACCATTCTCATGCCATCAACTTCTAGTCTAGAAATTTGATAATGTTATTTTTTTAAAGCAGGCAATTAAAGAGTCTTGCAGGGAAAGTAACATGTTTATTACAGACTGCAATTGATCAGAAGAAAAATTACATGGTTCATAAAGTTTCTCTCATTGGAACTTCTTTTCCTTCCATGAATCTTTCTGTTAAAAAGAGAGAAGGGAAGATAGAATTAGATTACGTTGGTGTTCCTTCCCTCTGCTACTTTGGATACCCAAGGCCCTGAAACAGATCTAAGAGTGCACTTCTAACTAGAATATGCAAAGCAGCCAGCTCTTGGAACAAAGAAAAGAGTTGATAGGCAACTGCAGGAAGAGATACCTGGGTCTGGAAAATGGAAGCAGAGCCCTAGAAAGAAAGTTTAAGTTTCAGGAAGGTGGGAACCAGAAAGACTGAGGAAAACTTACAGTCTGCTGCTAGGAGTAAGTCTGATTTAAGGAGGAAGTTATGATGTGATGGTGGGAAGGAAGGAAACAATAAAATCATTAAAGGTATAGGCAGTCATCTGCAGATGAAAATACTCATCCATCCATCCATCCATCCATCCATCCATCCAACCACATATCCATCCATCCATCCAATCAAAGATCCATCATCATCCACCTATCTGCCCATCTGCCCATAGGTTTATCCATTCCAATCACCAGGTATGTATTCAGAGATTATTGGGGGATCATAATGCACAACCTCAACTTTAAAAATATCATAACTAGTGAAGAGGGCAGTAGTGTTTGGAATACAGCACACTAAATACAACTCCAAGAATGCCTATGTGCAGGAAATGGTAAGTGAAAAGGTTTCTGGAGGAGACACATAGGCTATCCTCCGGATAAACTCAGGGATGGGGGCAAATTGCATTACAGAATTAGGGTCCTGGGAATACATGTGAGACCCAAATTACAGGAAGGTGGAAATAGTCAGCTTTTGGAATCTCACCCCTGTGAACCAACAGACAGAAGAAAGCTTTGAAGCTGAAAGCCAGATAGGACCCAGACCACACACCACATTATTGAAAGAAGTAGATGCTGTCCAACCCCCAGATGAACAGGGATGTTGAGTTGGTAAGAACTGGTGTCAAGGTGATGGTGGACAGGTTCAAGATGAAATCACCAGGAAAACATGAGTACTGAATGTATCAGGCTGGCAAGGATAAAGCCAGACAGAAGCAGACAGCATGGCGAAAGGCTGGGAAACACTGCAGAGGAAAGCAGAAGATAGTGACCAATCAGATGATGGGTAGGGGGGCAGGCAGAGAATCCATCTCAAGCTAGGACAACTGGGAAATGAGTTGAATGCAGGATGAGACTTGGGTTTCCAAGGAAAGGATGGCTTTGAGCATGGTGTGGAATACCTGGATGGAGGTGTCTAACCTGCCATTGTTTACTCAAGCCTGGAGCTCAGCTTAGAAGGACAGTCTGGAAATAGAAGTTAGAATAATCCTTGGGTAGGTGAGCATAGAAACCCTGGTGGCGCATGAAATGGCCCAGAAGAAGGGCAGTGAGCAGAGGGAGAGACAGACTTGGAATCCTGGGGAACATCATATTTGAGAGGCAGCAGGAAGAAGAGGGATCCATGACGCATAGGACAATGTTGGCTGCAGAGAAGAACTGAGGGGGGAACCAAAATCCAAAATCTCAGAAGTCAGAGGATTTCAAGAAAGTGTGGTCATCAACATCCCAGGCAGCTATGATGTTCCGCAAGCAAAAGGATGGATGCAGAGGGTTGGGAAGGTAATGGAAAGGCAAGCACTCTGTGGGGAAGGTGCTGGGGGCCCTAACTGCAGACAAGATAAGAAGGGAGCACAAAAGATTAAAGAGATTCTAGGGAACCACCTTGCAACTGATCCTCGCTATGCACGGACTCCGTATTTGTGATGTCACCTGCTCACTCATCTTTATTTGCAACCACCCATTCTCAGACATGCACAAAGTGGTGAAGAATTTCAAAAATCGCTTTGCCCATTTTTTCTTTTGTTTGTAGATGATGTCACTGCTTAAAATGAGCCCTCAAGTGCTTTGTCTCCCAGTGTTCTGAATACAAGGTGGTGCTCCTGCCTGTGGAAGAAGTGTGCAAGATCAGTTTCACGCAGCTCCAGGTCAGCTGGTCAACAACCTCTGTGAGAGAGAGCATCTAAACAAAACCACGAGGCAAACAAGGCTACACGCAAATCCATCACTCTATCCTCAAACATTGTATTTCACTAGCCAATGTTCTGTGTTAAATGTTGTCTACCATTCTGAAGGAATCCCAGAAAGGTGTTTAGTACATTACAGAAATGATGACTCAGCTCCTATTTTATTCTGTGGATTGAGCCAGGCTCTGGGGATTCCATGATGAATGAGTCGAGGCTCCCACCCTCAAGGAATGCCCATGATTTGAAAATACTAACCTTGCTTTCAATCAGGCTTTCATTTGTTCATTCTTTCTTCCTAATCTGTTGGATTACATTAGATCCTATTTTTATCATTCTGAAACTTACCAAGGATAATGTTATCAATCACTTCATTTGTATAGACATATTATTAGTAACATGTTTACTTCTTAATAAACCAAAACAATTAATAAAAAATAACAGGGGAATGCAGCCTTGATGAATAGATGGTCTTCTAAGAACAAAAACAAGTAAACAGTAATAAACCTTAGAGAGGACTGGGCTGGCAGGGAGCTAAGGAGCTGGGTCAAGATTGCAGGTGTCAGAGATGGCTCACAACTGTGTCAGATGAGCCCAAACCCACCAGATGGGCTCCATCATTGTCCCTCTGCTTCCTGGCCTCCCTTACAGCATCTAGCATGTCAGAGCTAGACACATGCCTGGCTCAAGGCCATTGGAAAGTAAGAACATGACCAGCACGGCCATCAAAGCCAACGTTGTGGCCAGGGCTGCAGCGTTTGGCTGTTAGTTTGTGCTGCCCTTAAACCGACATGCTGTCAGCAATCACCCACTTTACTGAAATCAACAGCAATGATACAGATAAATCTATATCTCATAGATAGATACATACATACACACATACATACCCAATTGCCTGATTTCATTCATAGACAAAACCTAGCCAAAACACTTAGAACTGCCCTTGTTGGCCCCATGTGGAGGCTCTGAAAAGCAAAAGGGATGAATTCATTTCTTCCTAATGAGTGGTTGCCTTGATCTCAGTATAAAGCTGGTTTTTATTTTTAGAGCAGTATACCATAGATTAAAAAGAAACCCTACCATTTTCATTTTCCATCTAAGGTGGCCTCTGGTAAATCTTCCTCCTACTTTAGTAAAATATCAGTTGACTTTTTAAAAATTCCAGTGGTTAAACATTAATTACGCCAAGCTGGGCTGCTTTTTGGTAAAAGAATCATGGGAACCCACCACGTATATGTACATCAAGGACATATTTTTGGGTGTGCCTGGCTCTGGGGAGGGCACTGGGTGGCAACGGCTGAGGACATCCTTGAAGCCAGCCTGGGAAAGTCAGGCGGGCAGAGAGGCCCTGTGCTGAGGCTCCATGGACATGCAGAAAGGACATCATCTGTGATGTAGCAGAGGTGGTCTATAACATCAACGTCCACCTGCAAAGGGAGTGACAGCTGGGCTGAGAAGGTGATGCTGCCAGTCACAACACAGAAGCTTTACTGGAAGTCAGGTGAATTTCAGGGGCTCACAGGACACCCCTGGCAGCTGCTGCCAGTGGGCAGCTGACACAGGGCCTGGATATCAGAAAATAATGTTGTAAAAGAGCCACATTTGGGGAAACACGTCTGTGAGGCCTGAAGTTCAGCAAGTAGAAAGGCTGACAGTAACTTGCAGAATATGGAAAGGACTGGGCCAAAGAGTTAATACAAATAATCACTAATATTTAAATTACTGCTCAAGAAATTGGGGCTCCACCATATTACAGTGGGGAGATTGAGACAGCAGTAGGGAGATTGAGGCAGCTTTGATAGACCACAATGCCTACCAGGGTAGGCAGGCTGGAGCGAGGCAGCAACTGAGATGGGTGACCCTGACTCAAAGGAAGAGCGTGTTCAATTGTTTTATTGTTTGCTGCTTGGTCTTAAGCAGAGAAAATTAAGCACATCTGTGACAACAGATGTAAGTGCTCTGGGTGGGCACTGAGGAGGAGTGAGTTGGGAAAGTCAGCTGAGGAGCAGGATCCAGGAAGAGGCAAGAGAAGGCATGGAAGCAAGGGTGGGAGTTGAACAGCATGGGACAGATGGTGGTCAGCAGGTTGAAGGCGTCCCTTCCAAGTAGGAAACAAGGATGCCCCCTTACCTCAAGACCATCACTCAAAGGCAGTACGGATTCTTGGTCTGCGCTGGTAGTTCAGGTATCTTCCAGGAGAGAAACTCCTTCTCACAACATCTAAGGATGGAAAGGGGAAGCAGAGGCTCTGCCAGTGTCATCAAGATCCAATACTGCGTGGGTTGTGTGACCACAGATTAGTGAGGACAGTGCTCAGGGCAGCCTGAACCCACACCTCCAAGGCAAGGCCCAAGGCTGCCATGACCCCATCTGCCCTGGCAGAGCTCTCCCAGGCCCCCGTGTTACAGCTAGGACCTGGGTTTAGGTCTTCCTCCTCAGAATCTCCACACGTGGTCTGTCTCAGCTACAACTGCAACAGGGGTTGTAACATTGATCATTCCACCCGCTGGTCCTCTGTGGGATCTGCCCCATAACAGGCGCTCACATTTGTTGAGCTTAGTTGAAGGAGCATGTTGGAAGCCATCTCCAAGATGACAGAACATCTCTGTCCATGGTCCTCTCAACTCTCAAAATATTTTCAGAATTTGGCTTAGAAATAACTTCTGAGTCATATAAAGGCTGGCAATTATAGCCATACAGTATAAATTTCCTCCTATATGGATTTTTCCAAAGCCATAACCAGTCTCCCAAGATGGCATTCACATCTGGGAAGAGCCCCACCTTCATCAGCCCACAGCTGGTCTGTGTGACTGACAAAACAGAGATGTGATGGCATCGCCCTCCTTAAGCAGCCAGGACACACTGGCAATAACAAAGTGCTCAAGTACCTTACATGATCTTGCATATAACTTATCTGTCATTCTTCCATACACAAAGAAACTTAGAAACTTTGTGGAAAATGGAATTAAAAGATAGGCTTGCACTCATTCAACATTTAAAAAAATGCATACAAAGCTTTCTCGTGAATACCTTTCCCACAAACATTTGGAGACCTCACTGTATCTGCATCATCTCTGAAGACTCATCACCCTTAATACGAGGTAATGTTACATAAATACTTGCTGTGCTGTGTTGTTTAGGGAATCGGGACAAGTTAAAGAAAGTCTATATATGTTCACTGCAGGTGCAATTCATTTCTCACGTATTTTCAATCAGCCTTTGGTTGAAGTCTTCACTGCAGAATCCTTGGCTACGGAGGAATGATCGCCTGATTTCCAAGGTTAAAGAGACTGTGCTTTCTGCCTTGAGTGCTTCCTTGCCTGTTCATTCTTGCTCTCCCCCTCCCCTTGTGTGTGTGTGTGTGTGTGTGTGTGTGTGTGTGTGTGTGTGTGTGTGTCCCTAACCCACTCCTTTTCTGTTTGTCATTTTCAGGGATCTTTGTCTCTGGAGAAATTCACACCACCCCATGGAAGGCTCATGTAGGAAAACCCTAAACAGTGAAGTCTAAGAATCCACAACCATGTGGGTGAGCTTGGCAGCGGGCCCTTCCGTCTGTTTCCCATGGGATCACAGCCTCAGCGAGCATCTTACCTGTAACAACTTTACAGACCAAACTACCACTGGTTTCTTGATGCTCACAGAGAATCCATGATTGGTTTAAGCTGCTACATTCTAAGTATAACTTAATCAGTGTAATAAAAAAATTCAGTGCTTCCAGGTTGGTCACTGAGCTAATTCTTCAGATTTGTTTCCAAAGTCAAACCAAGATGACCACCAGTATAGGCCGTGGATTCTGACGGCAAATCCAAAACGAGCGTTCAACTAGAAACATTCGCAGCAGAAATCACGCTGTTGCAATAACTACATTCTTCCCAAGTACTCAGTTGGAAAGAGGTAGCAAATGTAGGCATAGTTATTGCATTGTTTCACTCTAGCCACATGAGGTAAGCCCCAATACTTTTCATAAACTGGAGCATGTCTAATGAAGATGGGATACTGATCCTAATGAAATCTATGAATGTCTGTGTTTTTCACTCTAATGAACTGCTTTGAACATGGAGCAGAGTTCACACCAATTCTAGAAAGCACAGGTGCCAGAGCCTCTCGGCTCTCTTAAGTCCTGTCTGCTGTGCTCTGCCTTTGGCAAAGTTCTTGTGGGTAGCGTCAGCTTAAGCAAGTCACAGAGACTCACTGAACTTCGCTTTGCTTCCTGAGGAAATGAGAAAAGGCACAGAGCTGCCTCACAGGGTGGACACAGGAGGAGAAAATGGCATTAAGCAATTAGTACAAGGCAAGCATTTGTGTGTTTCCATTAGTGCTATGAGTCATCTCCCATTGCTTCATCCATTCAGGCAGGCAGTGCATCTGTTACAAAGCTCTGCTAAAGAGAAAAGGGCAGAATGGGTCTGCTCAGAGCAAGGACTGATCAATAACCCACTAACTAGTAACCCACTGGCTAGTAACCCACTAAGAAATTTGGTAGAGTACAGAAAAGATGAACTCATTAGTATGGGCTGCACAGGAAGTACTCACAGTGGGGTAGAAGACAAATAATGCTGATTTTCTGAGCAGGATTTAATCCCTGTGCTTCTAGTCACTCTAAAGTGAGTTGGTACCTCCAGGCTCCCATTTCATTGGCTTGTTAAGTGGGGTCTCTTATTACTATTTTTTTCACTGTCACCTACAATGTTTCATATTCTGGAGACTTGAGCTATCAACCTCAGCAATAGTGTGGGCTGCCCAGACCAGGGTGTGATGATATGCACAGAAAGAGACAGACCACTTACCAAGTGAGCGATCATAAAAGTGCTCATTTCTGGGGTCCTCGCGAGTCAGACCTGGAACACAACAACAGTCACAAGACAAGAGGCTCAAGCCCAGCCCTAGAACATTCTGTGATAGTATCCTGATGCCACAAATGGTCTCCAGCTCTAGAACATTCTGTAGTATTATCTTGATGCCACGAATGGTCTTTATAAATGAAGAAGCAATGGGACTATAGGGTGACACCACCATCAATACCAGTAAGACAAAGTCTCAAGGATACTTGACTCATAGGACAACCACCCAATCCTACCTCAAGCCATAACAGGGAACAGAAGGAGGACATTTGTCCTCCTACCAAGACACTCAAAGGGATGGTCCACTACAGGCACACTGGGGGATAGCAAAGGCCAGTCCCAACCAGTCAGGTGTAGTCTGATCCTGATTCTCCCAGCTATATATTATCACGCCCCTGGCCCCTATGACTTAAGCAATACACCCGGGATGAAACACACATGTCTAAATTAGGGAACCCTCTTACGGGGAAAACCAACACTGGCCCTGTGCATTTGATGGAAAAGTTAGGGTCACCAAATGGACTCAGGTACTGAAAAGCTCCACATAATACAAAGCAGCATGAGATTAGTAGAAGTATTATCAATATCAAATGATATGGAAGAGTCAAAAGTGAAATAAAATGTGGATTTCTGAAATTACCGTATTTAAAGGCTATCTTTAGATATTCCTAGAGTTAAGTAACTCATTAGAAAAAGCTTCAAAACAAAGTTATTTCAAGAAAAAACATAACAAGAACACAGCTTACCAAGTGGATGTTCATTTCTCCACCTATTGGCTCTCAACACATCTCCAAAAATCATCTAAGGAGTGGAGGCACCAGCGTGTATCAGCATGTGAAAGGGGGAAAAAAAAGTGAATATTACGTAGAGGACTCAGAAGCAGAATTCCTTTTTTAATGACATAATGTATTGAACCAGAAAACTCAATAACAAACATTCACAGTTAAGAAAGTGCAGGAAAGAGCAACTGACATGAAATTGAAGTCAACTCCATGGTTTTCAGGGAACTCCACATGTGCTCCCAGATACCGTGGTCAGAAACTGTTACATGAGCTTACAGACACACAAAACTTTAGTCTGGAATTGAGGTCTCCGTGACAGCGTCCGTAAAAGATGTCATGAAACTACTGCAATTTCCCAAACTGTCGCAAAGCAAAGTGACTGCTGGCTGCTTAGATGAGGGACAGAGAATGAAGGCTGAGCCTGAATGGCAGACCCAGAGCCAGGCCTGCCACAGGGAAACCCAATGCCAGGCTGACTTCCATGGTCTGAGCCTCTGGAACTGCATTAGGCAGCCATGGAGCTGCCTTCGCTACACCTGTCCCAGCCTGGAGGAAGACTCCACCTGTTAGAGTCCTCCTCAGAAGGAAAAGTGCGTGCCCAAGGTGCCAGCATCCCACCTAGGTGCTGGTTCCAGTCCCTGCTGCTCTGCTTGCTACCCAACTCTCCGCTAATATTCCTGGGAAAACAACAGAAAATGGTCCTCGTCCTCGGCTCCCTCTCCTGCATGGGAGATCTAGACAAAGTTTCTGGCTCTAAATTAAAAAGAAAAAAAAAAACTAGGAAGAAGAAGCAAAAAAGCAATCACAGTCATCATGAAAATCTGCAAAAATACCAATCTTAGCAGTGCAGTAGATATACACAGAGGAAGAGAAGAAAAATAAAATAACAATGTATGTTTATTTTTTCTGGATTTCATTTGCTGTATATTTAGTCAAGGGTCTTTCCAACTGTATTAATTAGGTGTATGGTTCAGTCCTATTTTTTTTAATTCACTAGGTTTTGATAGCAGAGTTACATTGATCCCTTAAAATTACTTTGGAAATACTGATCCTTTTGTATTTTTTTTTTGAAAGAACATATTATTGTACTATCATGCACTTTTCAAGAGTTTGGTGGAATAGATCAGTGAATCAGTGAGCCACCCAGGCCTTTATCTATGGAGAGGATTTTTTGATTAATTTAACTTCTTACATACATGTGAGGCTATTGAAAAACTTTTTCATTTCACGCCAGTTTCCTGAACTTGCTTTTTGAAGAAATACACCCTCTTTACATAAGTTGCCAAAATTGTTGGTGTAAAATGTTCCGTTCTCTTAAACATCTGAATCAGAGCTGTGCTGTGACCCAGTATCCCATTACTGACGTACTTGTGTATGTACTGGAACATAAATCAGGGTACCAAGGGGAGAGCAACACTCCCGTGCTTATTGCATTGCTACTCCCGATAGCCAAGAGTTGGGATCAACCAGGGCTAATCAACAGTTAAAGAGATCAAGAAAGTGTGTGTGTGTGTGTGTGTGTGTGTGTGTGTGTGTGTGTGTGTAGCTGTGAAGATTCAACTTGGGATTGTTCCATCCCATCTTGGAGTACCTGGCTGTGACCCCAGCTGGACCCCTGCCACCCCCACCAGGTCTGGCCCAACCCAGCCCTGACTGTTATGGACCTTTGGGGAACAGACCAGTAGATGGAGATCGTTGTCTGTGCTTTACTTTCTGTCCCTCTGTCTTTCAAGCAAACAAAAATTCACTAAAACCAGCATCTAACATGTATAAAATACCACATGTACTCAGCAAATAGGTGTCATTTTAAAATAAACATGTAACTTGTATGCAGAAAGGTATGAAAAGAGGTATATGAGCCTGTGGACTAGGACAAAGAAAATGATGCAGGACATTTGTCTAGTGCTAGAGAGAGCTGCGTCCTTTCCCACCTGTGTTCAGAAGGTGGAGATCCAAGGTGGGTTGGGGCTTCACTCTCTGCTGCCTTGACAAGACTTGGGAGGTAGGGAGAATGCAGAAGAGCAGGCAGGGAGCAGATAACGAGACCTGGACGTGCAGTTAGAACACTACGAAATGTGTGGATTGCATAAACAATCAGTAAACCTCTCCAAGACAGAAGAGGGGTTAAATGAGGAGATCAATCATTGAATTAGTTTCAGTGGTGCTAAAGGTCATAGAAGGAACTAGAATCTATTTTCCCCAATGTTTTCTACCCAGTCTTAGCCCCATGTAGCCTTCTCTCACCTGCTCTGCTCCTTCTTATTGCTGTGTAGTCACTTGTACCTGCCTGGCATCCATTCCTCACCCGGCTCAGCCACTCTCCACTCATAACCTCTCAAAAGCCCCACTATCATTAAGATAAAGCCAAGCATCCCTGACGTGACCCATAAGGCCTGTCTCATGCGGGAGGCTCCTCTCCAACCCGACCTTGTGTCTCTCCCCACTGCATTTTGCTTTTCAAGGCTTAATATGCCAGCTTCTCTCACATTTCCCAAATGATTTCCAGCACGCCTGACAGTTCCTTTTTACTCTGTCCCCAACACCCTTTCTCCCCACCTCCCATTCTTGGTTGGCAGGTCAGTTCTCCAGGTTAGCTCTCACTTCTCTACCAACGTGGTATCTATTGTCCTCCTCCTGTGGCCCCCAACACTGGTCCCATGAGTAGTCAGGGTACAAGATTCTCTCTTAGGGCTGTGCTTGTCTTGCTGCCCACTGCTTTCTCCCCTTGGAAATCACAAAATAAATCCTAGAACACTCTTGCAAGGTGATGCACTGGGTCATTGCGATACCTGGGCTCAGTGTGTGATAAGTCTGACTCACTTCCCAGACTTGTCGGCAGAGCGTATAAAAAGGAGGCCCAGGGCATTTGCCCCAGTGTCCCTAAAAGATCCTTGAGCAATGGCTCCACGGCAGCTCAAAAATCCCTTGGAAATTGGCCCTCTAAAGTTTGTGTGAGCTCAACTCATGAAGTTTTGCTCAACTAAGATTTACAGAGAAAATGTTAGCACCCTGCACAGCAAAGGAACCATCCCTCACAACACCTCCTCCTCAGAGTTCTTTGGTCACTGATATCATTACTCTCTAATTCTGAGATGAACTTGCACACAAGATAGTTGGAGTGTGTGTATATTAATACTACAAAAACATAATTGGATATAATTATTGAAGTCAAAACCTTATATTCTTTTAATGTTGTTTCCACTAGAGAATGAAATTTTGAATAATTGAATAAAAATGTTGGAGGAATTCACTGCAAAATAATACAGATTTTTTAAATCTTATTGTTATTCTAATACAAATGAATTGGTACTAAAAAGTACATTTTCCCCTAGTTAAAAATCAAGAGATTTTGTGTATTGTATACTTGATTATTGCTTCTCCATTGTATCTGTATTCACTCACCAAATTTTTTTTATCAAGAAAAACTGTGTTGTATCAAAACATTATTCTAGATCGACAAAAACAAACACTCTATACCCTCAAGTATAGTCTAGCAAGGAGAGAAGTTAATAAATGTGCAATAGAATTTCAAGTTAGAAATATATTTCTCACCTCACAATATTGCTACAATATTGCTTCAATGTCATTTGAAAGTCAAGAAGGGTACTGTCATCACGGGCATCCATCAGATACCAGACACTGTCCATCAGCTTAAATACAGCATTCCTCAACAACCCTCAGACTGATGTTCCTCACCACACTTGACAAGGACTCTGAGGGTCATTAGTTAAATGGAGAGCAAGTACATTGACCGGGACTGCAGAACTGAGAGCCAGCCTGAAGCACTGGCCCAATCAAAATGATCCACTTCCTTCCCTCAAACTACAGTGCCAAGGAGCCACACACTTAGACCCAACACTTGGAGGATTTGTTAATTGTTTTTTGAGGACATGTCCCAAATCTTAAAGCAGAGTGGAGAGGCAGAAAAACAGACACACACACACACACACACACACACACACACACACACACACACACACACACACACGGCAGGGGAGGGAGGAGCAGAGAGAGACAGAGAAAGATACCAAAATACAGAGAGGTAGAGGGATAAACAGACAGCACGGAAAATAGGAAAAAAGATGTTGTTGGTATCCAATATATCCAAATTATCTTATCTAAGCATGGGTGATGATCCAGCTACCCTATCAAGCCATGCTGCATTTTAAAGACCCACAGAGATCCCCAAGAGCTGCTGTGTAAGACAAGACTGTGGCCATACCTCTTCACTGCTGTTGGAGTCGGAGAAGGAGGACCAATGGCAGCGAGCCCACACGTCCTGCACCTCTTCTCCGGACATCTGCACTGTGCTTCTGCATGTGACTGTTGGCTGGGAAGGAAGACAGTGAGTTACAGCTCTCGGGATTCACAGAGCGAACCTCTGTGAAATAAACCAAGCAATGGTGAAGGAGTTGACAAAGTAATCCAGAAAGGAACAATTCACATGAGCATTTCAATTTTCCCAAATGAAAATGTCTCAGGATGGAATTAGAAAGAAATGAAATACTTGGATGCTGCTTGGGTGTTTGATATGCTATAAATTTCTCAGAGAAGCAAACGTTCCTTTCATGGACAGTGAGGGATGTCTTAGGTCCATGCCAACAGCACCAACTCTTGGCACTCAGACACTGTGTTTGGGATCTTTTGTAAGTCACAGTAAAAAGTTTCATGAGACAAATAACTAAGCAATTAACAACAGGAGCCTAAGGATCTGTATGCCTGAACGCAAATATTTCAGAAAGCATATTTGGGGCTGAGAGTTGTGTTGTCCTGTTCAGATGGTATTCCTGCTGATGAGGTTGATTTAGTGTGGTCATTTGTAACGGACAAAAGGAAATGAAAAGGACTGTGGAATGTTCCCAGTCTCACAGACCCAGAGCCGAGTCGAGGAGGTATATTGCACACGGCCAGTAGCAGGAGAAGCTGCCTGAGCCAACACCACAGCTGATGACTGATATCCATCTACCGCAGCATTTGAAATGTGTGGGGATTTGATTTGCTGTTGGCCTCTCTGTATGCACTTTACCTAACTTCATCACCATTTTAAAAGTAGGGGTTAATTTATTACAATCCCTCAGGAGCATGATCCCTCTGCAGCTCATAAGCTCAAGTTTACAGTAGCCAGTTCACACTGTCCTCACCAGGGAGCCCAGACTGGACAGTGGAGTGGCCAGACGCCAGCCAGGATGTATCCAAGCTCTCTGTGGCACTCCAAATCTGCTCCAGGTCACAGAAGAACCAAGGCCATGTCCTACATTATTTTCTGGAGTCAAACTTTTCCCCCATCATGCTCACCACATAGTAGCCCCTTTGGAAGGCACATGAAGAAGGATCTTCTCCAGAATCTGCCCTGCATGTAGTTTCTCGAATGCTGAATTCCAAATTCATGATCACATTGTCCTCGTCCAAGGCATTGACCTTCACAAAAACAATAGATGTGTTTGTGAAGTTGCTGATCCTAGAAACGACTCCCTTCACCCATGGTAAAGCAGGCTCACCCACCACGAAAGCCACGATTTGCCAAGTCATCAGTGGAACTAGAACTTGTTGTCCTAATAACAGCATCCAATGATTCACTTTCACAATGGGTCCTCATCATCTGTGAATCCCAAGTTTGTGAACGTGTCTGCTCACAAAAGGTTAGCTGTAGCCCCAATTCGATAGTTACAACCCCTTTCAGGCATTCACAGACATGTACAGAGTGGAAAGTTGAATCTTCCAAAATGCATGCTGAGCAGGACAGACACCCCCTTCTGCCTCAGCCCCTCAAACATTAAACACGCGTACTTCCTGCGGCCTGCTCAGTGCTACAGCTTGTGCCTATAATTTATTGGCAGTAATTTATCATCACTTTAAATAGCCCCCCAAGCTACTGCTGAAGAGCTGTCCAATGTCCCTCTGAGTCCAAAGTGTGTCACACACCTTAGAGAGAAAATGTGTGTCAGACAAGCTCTGTTTAGATGTAAGTCACAGTGTCTTCAGCGGCAGCCTCAAAGTTAATGAATCAACAGTGTGTGTAAATAAGGTGGCATATTCACACCAGAACTCAAGCAACAAGATTATGTATTGATGGGTTGGCTAATATGGTGTCACTCAAGGCCTGCATAAACCTAGCCCTGTATTTCCTCTAGAAGCAACGATTCTGTACTTATGAATCCAGTATTTATAGTGATTTTACATATAGCTATCACTGTAGGTAACCAAAATCAACTGCATGAAATTTGAAGAATGTTCTAGAATTTCTTAATTTCTGAAATAAGTCATCCAGCAGCAGATGCATCTCTATTGCACATAGGGTTATTCTGTCCTGGCTTCCTGCATCAGCAACTTGGATCTGTGAATGAATGTGTGTGATTTTTTTTAGTCCTTTCTGCCAAGGGTGTGATGCTGGAGGAATCTTTCAGACCTCCATGAGAAACCCTGGAAATTCTTTGGCCACAAAAGTCTTGTGATTCACTGAGAGTTAAGCTCCAAAGGCAGAAGGGACAAATACTATCCTGCCTAGGTTACAGAAGGAATGCCACTCAGGAAATGCAGCAAAGGAAGCTACCAAGATTATTTCAGATCAGTAAGGTACCCTGAAGAACAAAAGCAATAGGAACATGGTAACAGGAGTGGGAGGCAATGGCAATGGCAGTTACTTTAGAGAAAGTGCCACAGAACTCCTCCAGACCTGAAGGATGGAGAGGAGCCCGTTGTGCAAGGATGACACAGAACCAATGCATATATCACTTTCTAGGAGAGAATCAGGGACACCTGTTAGACAGAGTGTCTTCAAAAGTTTCACGTAAAGTCAGAGCATGAAAGTCCAGGAACAGGTTTCTGTTTTATTTTGTTCGTTTGTTTTTGTGTTTTGACTAAAACAAACCTCCTTATTCCATCAGTGCTTCTTTTGAGAGGAAGAGAGACACATAGCGAAGTAGAGATGGGTGGGGGGTGGGAAGAAAGAGAGAGACACACAGAGAGAGGACTCATCCATTCCCCACTCCCTAACCAGATCTCCCCAAGGCAGGAAGCACCCAGTTGCTCCCAGAGTCTGCACAAATAGGAAGCTGGAGCAGGAATCCAGAGCCAGGAATAGAATCCAGGAATCAACCCAGGTTGTCTGATGTAGAGACAGGGCAGGCATCTCATTTGCTGGGCCAGTGTCTACCCCATGAGTGCTTGAGACACCTTAGTCAGTAGCAAACTCAGATCTTCAGCTGCTTGATGAGTTTTCCAAAACCGAGTAGGAATTGACGAAGCAAACCATCCATGAAATAGAAAAGCCAGACTCTCCTCCCTAGGCCTGCTGTACCGAACCCAGAAACTCCCACATGTGCCTATCCATGACTTAAACACGTATTTCCTGTGGCAATATTCCTACAAGTGAAAGGGTGCAAGCAGAAGTGTAAAGTGTTTGTTTATAAATACACTTAACACATACTTCCAAATTGCTTTTCAAAGAGAATTTTTGTCAGGTTATTCTCTCTCAGGGAGCACTGGGAATTCCTTTTTTTATTCTGTCATTCTTCCTTTTCACTGTGTTAATTCTCTCTCTCTCTTTTTCTTTCTCCCCCCACCCCCAAAGCAAAAGGCCTAATGTTTCATAAATATTTCTTACTCTTTTTATTTCTTCCCTTCTGAATGGCTTCTATCCTCCATGCTGGAGAAGTAACCATTCCACTCTGTCCAATCTTTGCCTCCACGTCGTAACCTCATTTCTAGCAGATATATTTGGGACCATCTACAGAGCCTCTGACGAAGACACAATTGACACACATAGCACAAGCCCCAAAGTGAAATGCTTCTCAGAGGAAAGAAGTATCATCAAGGGGTTTGAAGGAAGGCTTCCTCTCACTGGGAAAATAGAATTTTCAAAGAGGCCGCAAAGGTAGCTTCAACAGTTTGAATGCAGCACAAAAGGCTGGTGAGTGGTAAGGACAAGCCAGCTTGTAGGCAAGAAAGGCAGAGAGGCAGCTCTCCTCCCTGTGCCCATCAAGGTTCCCACGATATATCTGGGTATGCTTATTTTTAAGGGTCTGTTGACTGGGTCTGGGGCCAAATGCCCAAATCAAGATGGCACACATGCTAGAGTGTGCCCTAGTGACCAATATCTCACACTAGCTCAACAACCCAGGCCAGATTTCCATAGTAACAGCATTCAGCTGCCTCAGGATTTAATGTTGAGCATTGCTTGTCTTCATGTGCTCTGGTATGCAATGAACTGCGAACTTTCTTCTGTGCTGAGCACTAACTAAACAACCAGGACATTAAAGCTGTCAACCTTGCCAGCTTGGCAAAGGGCATTGCGCAAGTGGGTCTGTTTAAATGCCAGTGGAAATTGATGTTTGCAACCCAAGACAAGTGCTGTGTAGTGAATGAGGCTCTCTGTTCTGACCCAGACCTCTTCCAGAAGAACTTCAACCATCAGCTTAGCAGCTGACCACACACACCTTGCAGGGTTTTCATACCTCCACAACATCCAGTGCAGGGACCCCACCCACACTACCCACGACCATCTGGGACTGGGGTGAGCATCTTAGTTAAAGCCTGGCTCATTGTATGTCAGCTGATTTGTTAAATAATGAAATAATAGAGACAAGCTACTTTACAGAGATAAAGTGGTCATGTAACTCCCAAAGTCAAAACAACATGGTGCAGGCTCTCGTGCTGGCCTCTTCAGCTGTATCACATCCCAGCAGATGGCCTTTCTGGTGAGCATCACAAGGCAAAAGACAGGGACAACACGCATCTGGGTGTTGGCCTAACTCTGTCCCTCTTACAAAAACATTTTAGTCATGGCGGCTCCAGCCTAACCGCCTTACCTAAAGCCAGCTCCTTCCCAAAGGCCCCTCTCTAATCGCCAGGGTCTGAGTCAACTTCCACTCACTTCATACCATCAACCCAGGGCTTTGGAGATTCAGCTCTTTCATGGATTTGGGGTAACAGATTGTGTCTGAACCATAGCTGACCCAATTGACAAAGACAGCTGGACCAATCTGATTAAATAACTTGGGACTTGTACTGAAGCAGTGTTTCTAGAAAGGGTTAAGATGAGTCTACTTTGTATTTGGAGATTGGGGTGAGGAAACCATGAGCTGTGTCCACCGAAGAGCTACAGAGGGAGTGAGCTGAGTGTGAGCTAAGGGGCGTCCAGGAGAGGCGGCTGAAGGGAGCCAGCAGGCCGGGGAAACCCCTAAGACAGAGATGCTCCCAGTCACGTCCCCATTCTTGTTGCTATGCAGCTCAGCTGCCTGCAGTTGTCATTCCTGAAAGCTGAAACTTCACAGTCCTCTTCTAGCTCCCACCTTGAACTGAATCCTCTGGAAGGCGCTTCTGCTTTACCTCCAGATGAGCCTCATTGCTGTCTAATAGCCAGTGAAATCCCCGAGGGACCAGGGAGGCACGTGCAGACTCGCTGCCCAGGGCTCCCATTCCCTTTCAGTCCTTGTGCCTGCCACAGGCTGGGCCATCAGCAGCACCCCACAGCCTCCTCGCACATTTCCCCAGCTTACAAAAAACAGAATATTAAATTGACAAAGGAAGGCAGATTTCCTGAGCTCAGAAGCCGATTTTTTTTTTTTTTTTTTTTTGCTATAGAGTTAGGAGTAGAATGGTTAAGTGGAGAAGCGAAACTGCCTCCTTTCAGTCAAGGGAGAAGTTCATCCCAAGATGCCCAAGGAGAACCCACAGAGACCTTGGCCACAGGGGCAAGGAAGCAAGGCAGCAGGAGTAAGCTGAGGGGCAGAAGAAAAATCAGCCCTTGAGAGCACCATGGCCAAAGCTGCAACCAATGCTTTTGTGCCCAAAAGAAAGCAAAGCAGCCTGGAAGAGTCACCTCTTTCGTGAAATTTCCTAAGTGGGGCTTCCGAAGAAACAAAAACGAAGAAAGTGGAGACAGGAAGGGCAGAGAACCCTCCAGCAAGCACTTACTCTTTTGAGTGAGCTTCTGAATGCCCGAAACAGGTAGGGACTCAGCGACTGGGAATTCACTTTTGCCACAGAGGCCCTGAGGGCTTCCTGCAAGGAGGCAGGGTCGTAGTCATACACAGGGAAACCTGGCAACACAAGCACAGGGTCACAGTCAGACAGGGCAGGAGCCTTCACTCAGGTGGCCCCAGGCCTTTACCTGAGCCCTTACCTGAGCAAGCCCAGTGGTCGGCCCCAAGAGCAAGCACGACCAGGATCTTCACCACCAGCCTGTCCATTGTAAGGAGAACAACCTTGATTCAGACTTGGGGAATTTGAGGATGACAGTTTTCCCCCAAGGAGTCACTTGCCTGGATGTAGCCCCACGGCTCTCTGACCGCAGGATCTGTAGCTCACCCAGAAACCGTTGATCCTGGGGTCAATGTTTGCTGCTGACTTTTCCTATGGAAAGCTTCCAGGGTGAGGCCACTTTTAAAGTTCATCCCTCATGTGGGGGGACTTCAGGCCACAGCAAAGGGCATCAGGAGGTTTAGGACTTCACCTACACGTGTTGTTGATCTTGTCTCTCAATTATTTTATTTTGAGATTTATTTGTATTGAAAAGTCAGATCTACAGAGAGGAAGAGAGACAGAGGAAAATGTTCCATGCCTCTGATTCACTCCTCAAGTTGACACAATGGCTGGAGCTGTGCCAATCCAAAGCCAGGAACCTGGAGCTTCTTTCCTGGTCTCCCACATGGGTGCAGGGTCCCAAGGCTGTGGGCCGACCTTGACTGCTTTCCCAGGTCACAGGCAGGGACCTGGATGGGAAGCGGGGCAGCTGGGACACAAACCTTTGCCCATATGGGATTCCAGTGTGTGTAAGTTAAGGACTTTAACCACTAGGGTACTGCACCGGGCCCCTTGTCTCTCATTTCTATCCACATGGGCTAGTGATTAGCTTTTTACATTTCATTCATTTGAGGCAAGAGATACAGTCTCATGCTCACCCGTTAACAGGTTCTCTAAGTGGTTGCCTGTTTAGTTCTCTCTCAAGACCTTGTTCTTGGCCACTTTAGAAAGTGGTGTGGGTATTTCAAGAGCTTTTTGGAAATTGTGACCACAAAGAAGAGAACTTGACATGAGGACACTAATGTCTGATCTGGAAAATGGGAGTGAAAAGCTGTGAATTACCACAGCTCTCTGCCCATGGATGTCTTTGAACATCACCTGTGTTACAGGCATTTGCCTGTTGGTGAAGCTCATGACAAAGAGCTGTGCTGGAAATTGGCTCCACTGCTTGCTGGGGAGCATCCTTGAGGATGATGCAATGGGCGTAAATGTTTGGTGTCAGGTGTTGTGTTGGTGATAGCTATGCCGAGAAGAAAAGATGGAGGGAGACGGGGAGGTGCATTTTAAGGAATGGGTCCATGTGGCTTTGGGATTGGCCAGTGCAGGATCTGCAGAGTGTCCCGGCAGAGTCCCAGGGCAGAGCTGCAGCCTCCTGCAGAATCCCTTCCCCCTCAGGATGGTCCATCATCACCATTCAGTCTTTCGGTGATTGGGTGGGGTCTACCCTTATGGTGGAGGTGCAGTCTTCACCTCACACTCAAAGACATCCTCAGAGAAAGATCCAGAACAAAGTTAGCCAAAGACCTAGTCAAGCTAACTCATAACGTTTGCACAGAAGAATTAAAGAACAAGTCCAAGAACAGAAGTTGGCAACCAGTTGGCAAACTTCAATGTTTTCTTCTAACCATCTGTCTGTCATGCGTAACGCAACAGGTCTGGAGGATGCCTTAAAGGAAGTAACATGCTCGCTCACGAGGTACAGCCACGGCCAAGCCAAGGATCAAAGAAGAAGCAAAAGTTCCTGAAAGACTTCCTGGAGACACTGGGGCCACCAACACCCAGTGACCAGGGCAGCCTTTGTCTTTTTAACTTGACCTTGATGCATGCAAACTCATTGGACAGGAGAGAGGAAGACACAGCCCAGGGAGATGGAACTGAAAGAGGAGTCGGGGAGGGGGTGGAGGACAGCAGCCTGGAGCCTGGAGCCTGCTGCTCATCAAGGCTGGACATTGTCGCCAAGCACATGGGGCAGGAGCTCCCTGCATGGTGGAGTGACAGGCAGCAAGGGCAAAGGCAAGTTGGAAACCAGTGGCCACTATGATAGGTGGTTTTCTAATTCCAAGTGTGTCCCCCAGGGTTGCCTGCCATCCTCAAGGACGGGCAGAATCGCTCTCTGACAACCCCATTTCACCCACTTTTCCCCTGCGTATTCTTGATCAGCACTTAGGCACCAAACCCCAGGATGCTTTGCAGCGGGCATTTGCCCACTAAGCCACAACTCTAGGTCTACCCCATCTCTGGCCAGCTTTCCGTCTCACAAGGTTCCAGCTGGCTGAGCTTTCTTCTTAGCTTGGAGATACCAAGTGTCCTCTATCTCCAGACCTGTGCTAGTTCTTACTGCTCAAACTCCCCATAGAGCCACACTGTCTTGGCAATGCTATTCTGAACCACCCGGTTAGGAATACAGTTAAGCATTTGTTGAGTGAATGAGATAGTAGACTTGGTCTCTTGAGTTTAAACCCAGTCCTTTTGTCTGCAATCTGTCCTCATTTCTGATGTGTAAAAGGTACACAGAACAGAGTGCTCTGAGGTAATGACCACTAAAATTTGTAATTCTATTACTTTTAACCTGGTTTGAGCTGAATTCCATTAGAGTCTTCCAAATATAACAAATGGCACCCCATCTGGCTGCAAACTCCACGGTCTCATCAAATGAGCAGTAGTAATAAAAGACATTGCAGAAGAGGAGAGGAGATGGAACAACAATGAAATAATGTTGCCAGCCCAGGGTTATTGATTTTGTTTGTAGCTTTCTGGTGTGGAGAGAGATCACTTTATTGCTCAGGATTCTCTAGGCTACAATCAAGGGTTGGCACCAGCACACAGAGCAGACAGTGCTGAGTGCTAAAAAGCAATGATCTAAAACTGTGTCTGTGGAGTTCTGTCATGTCTGGTCAACGTAGGACATTAAAGAGAAGCCATCCGCTGAAATTCAGGTCATAATGGTTGCTTTATCACCCTTTCGACAACCGGTAGGAATGAGGACAGCATTAATTCTGCCCATTTTCTGCTGCTCCAACACAAATTATTTAGCCAAAGTATTAAAAATTATGGGGCACTAAGCATAACTGTGCTGCAAAGCTCTTTTTATACAGTCCCTGCAAGTGTCTATAAAATACATCTCAAGCGCAATCAGGAAAGATGCTGAATAGACAGGAGGGTGTCTGTCACACAGGAGCACGATTCACACAAGATTGCTTCTTTTCATGTTGCAGCCATCTCTATAATCCTGTTTCTTAAGAAAAAAAACCACTAAATTTAGAGCACATGCCAACAGCACCCCACACCCTGCCACCCAGGCCATCAACCATGTGTCTTGCACCTGCCTTGGTATTTCATGTAAAAGGGTGAATTCAAGACTCCTCAATTTGACTATCAAAATTCCCCTCAAGGCCTGTCATCACAACCCTCTATTGTTCTGTTCTGGAAATTTCCGTACTGTTGTTAGGTTTATCATACAGAGGAAGATGCTGTAGCCGTAGAGCTGAGCAGCCCAAATCACGGATTCTCAAAAATGTGATCCCCCGATCCGCAACTGCTGCAGCTTTAAAGAAAAATGCAAATTATCCTGAGCAGCCTCAGTTCTAATCAGAAACGCTCCCTGAATTTCGATCCAAGACTTTTCTGATTGAAGCCTACACTCAATTCTCATGTGTAACAGGGCCACAGAGCCTTCTCTGTTTTACAAATCCCCCGGTAGGTCTCAGCTGGGGGAGTTTGGCTCACTTGGGGGCATTGGCGATGTCTGAAGACACTGGTAATTGCCACAGCCAAGGAGAGGTGCACCTGGCACCTGGAGGGTTCAAGCCAGAGATGTTATAGGACACCCTGTGGTAGACAAGACAGCCACTATCTTGGGTCCAGTCCAGGATGACAAGCACGCCAAGGCTGAGAAGCCCAGGTGAGTGGGAAAAAAGCTCTAGTGACCATTTCCTCTGGATTTACCTAGTGACCTGGGGCAGCCCACACACTGAGATAATATCATTATCTCCAGAATGATATTCAGAGGCTGGCCTGGACCAGTCGCTAGCTGCTTGGAGCCTCGGTAGGTGGAATATGAACATGGGTGGCAAGCAAAGAAACAAAACCAAACCAGAGTTCCAGAGTCTGCCCAGAAAGCCAGGCCTTGTCAGGAGAAGTGAGAGAAGGCAGCTCTCTTCCCTCAAGACCTTCCTGGCCCCAAAATGCCAGTGGACACACTGCATCTGAACAAAAGCGAGAATTTTGCAAGTTTTCTGGAATCTCTCGCTTTCTCCACTAGCTGAAAGGATAAGGAAAATGCTTGAGAAATGTGGTCCCCATGCCAATTGTCTGTCAGACAACCTGGACAGTGCAAAGGAATAGTTCTGTATGTGTGGTTCTTTCTGACCTTTTTAACCGGATTCAGCTAAATTCACTAGCCACACAGGGACATGTGGGTTAGGGCTCACCCCATTGGCATCTCCTTCAGTCATCAATGAGGTTCAAGTGTTTTGTTGAGTTACAGTTTTTTAGAAATGAACTGGATATTGTTTCATCTTGTCTACTATACTTTTGAAAAGTTGATAACAGTATTTTCCATAATAAACACACCTGCCTCTTTGATAACTCTGTCCTAAAGCTCCCTTCCCCAACTTTTTCAGCTGTTTTTAGTATTGTTTTACGTGCTTAATTGTCCTATGAAAGATGTTGTTTTTGTTTTAAACTATTGAACTTGTTTCTTGTTTCTGCTGGTGCCATCTTCAGAAGGTTTTCCCCAGCTTAGGGTCATATGGGTGCTACTAACCTGTTCACATTATTCCCCATTTTACATTTAAACATTTCAGCCACTTGGACTTGATTTTGATAAAAGTTTGAGATAATGTCCTAGCAGTTTACTTGTTGCTATGTATTGGAACATTCTTCAAGAATGTAGTCACTTCTGATTCCTGGGCAAGCCATGATTGAAAAGGTGACACGCTGTACAAAATCAAAGGAATTAGCTAAATAAAGGGACTTTGAATCTGCTTAATTCTAACAGAACCAAAACTTCAACACCAGATTAAATACGATAGAAATTTATGCCTCAATTACCACGAGGAATTGGAGTGCCTCCAGAGGCTGAGAACTCTGAGGTCATCCACTCCTGTCTGGATCTCCCTCATGAGATGGAACAAGCCCAAATCCTTCCTCGCAGGATCCAAGGTCATCGGAACTACAACCAGGAGCCTTGAGCGGTCCACAGAAACAGAACAGTAAACTTCCTTTGGGACTAGGCAGAGGAGCTTTCTCTGGTCCTTACTTAGTTCCAACTTTGGATCCCCACCCTCTCTTGCAATGACCATCAGGGT